CGTTACCCCTTGTCCTGTCACTACATTGAACTGCCATGGGACGGTCTACTGTGGTTGCCTGGTTTTTTCCAGCCTGGTCTTTGACTTCCCCCACTGGGTGTGAGGATCACCCCGAGGGGCCATGAGGAGAGAGGTCCCTGCACAGACATCCACATCACCCGGCTTGGGGACAGAGCAGGACACCGTAGCCGGGGTGTAGTCTCAGAAGGAGATGCTGGAGGTGGAGCACCTCTCTACTGGGAAGGGAAAATACAGCAAGAAGGTGTTTGGGGAGGAGTTGGTTTGGGCTGCTCATCCCAGCTCCATCCCAGTTCCCAGCTCCAGGAGGATGGAGCCAGTGGTGCCCTTGAGACCTAAACCCTGCCCATGCTGAGCATGGGGCAGAAGGGATGGAGGCCCCATCATGGCCATCCTGAAAGCTACCGTGGGCAGCGTGGGGTTGGGTGCTGCAGGTATTTGCCCTGGGCCTGCACCAGGAGCAGGGCTGTATTTTTAGCAATGGAAGAGGCAGGCGGAAAAGCCACCCTATGCAATGAGGAAACCCATCCTGCCCATCCGCTATCCCTTATCTCACATCCCAGCTCCATCCTGCCCCGGCACCCTCCCTTCCCCAGCACCCCTCCTCTGCCACCTCCAGCCATGCCAATACAGCACCGACCGCTTCCCGGCCCACCCCTGGACCATCATCTCTCTGTCTGTCTGTCTCCAGATTCCTCACCAGCCCCACATGGGCAGGCAGCAAAGCTGGAGGAGCTGGTTTGGGTCTGGGCAGGGGGACGTGCTGGCAACGATGGACCACTCCATGCACCACCGAGCCACGAGACCTTCTCCCATCCCCTCAGCCAGCCCCAGGTTACCAGGATGGTTTGTAAAATTGGATGCCCCCAAGGGTGGACTGAAATCTGGCCATCTGCCTGCCCACAGCAATTCAAGGAAGCCTCAGCAGGAGGCCAGCCTCACCCAGAAACTCTGGGCAAACAGCCCTGGCCACTGCTCCGTCCCTGCCAGCAGGGCCCTGTGGCAGAGGAGGGTGCCCCACAGCAGGGATGGTGGCCAAGCCGTGCTAGAGAGGAACCTTCCCTGCTGGGTGGTGGCAAGAAAACCATCTCTGCCAGCCTGAACCACCAGATGGGATGGACCGCCTGGTCCTCACCGTCCCCCAGCCCTGCCAGACGCCCCTGTTCCCACGCAGCGCCAGGCACCAGCGAGCCCAGGAGACACAAGCCAGCCCACCAGGTCCATGTCCTGTGTCCACACGCAGCGCCAGACACCGGCGAGCCCAGGAGACACAAGCCAGCCCACCAGGTCCATGTCCTGCTCCACATCCTGGCAGAGCTGCCAGGAATCGCTGGCCCAGCAGCTGTCTGCACACAAGCAAGATGTGTCCTTCCCATGCCCCGGCTTCTGCCTTGCAGCATCTCCCTCCTGGGGACCACGTCCTCTCCTGCCTCCTCCCTCCTCCAGCCTTCTTTTCCACCCTCCTGAAGCTGTATCCCTATGGCAGAGCCAGACAAGAGCCCGGCCATGGAGCGATGCTTACCGGGAGGGACTGTGGCCACCAGTGGTCCAGGATGGGCTGAGAACAGCCTTCCACCTTCTCCTTCGCCCTCCTCGTTTTGCCCAAAGGGTTGAAAAGCTGGGAGAAGCACCACGATGGCTTCCCTTAATGTGCCCTCCCACTGCTGCTGCAAGCCTTCCTCCCTCCTCACTGATGATGATGGCTCTGCAGGACCCATCGAGGATGGGGAAAGATCAGTCAGACCACAGCCCATGGAAAATTTTCCTCTCTTTTCAGCCAATAATTTAAATTGTTTTGCTCTCCAGGACAAACACGTAATCCTTTTTTTTTTTTTTTGTTTGTGTGTTTGTATCATCATTTTATCTTCTGATCAACCACTGACATTTAAACACCCCCTAAAAGGCTCCCAAAGTGCAGGAAGCACATGCAGATGTCCACCTTTGGCGTAGCGCTGACATAAAGGACCATCAAAAGAAGAGCTTGGTCTGAAGCTGTAAATACACAATACTGTATCTGTCAGGAAATCTCTCCAGTTTAGTACACCTCACCAGCGTCATCAAAGGAACCAGATCTGTGGTTTACCCAAACAGACACATCTTTTGGTGTTGAACAGTTGAAAAAAAAGGAGCTGAGAGCACCAGAGTGTGCAGAGATCCGCACACAGGCCCTCAGCAGGACAGCATCCTGCTCCTCAAGCCTGGTGGGATGCATTCCATCCCTCCCAGCTGCCCCAGAGCTCTCCTTTGCTCCTCTCTCAAGGCCATAAACACCTCCTGAATATTTCTTTCCACACCTATTTTTTCCCCCAGAACCGTGACTGTGAAAAACAACATGGGAGTGTTTCCTCCAGTGAACGAGCGTGCCGTGGGATGGGGACCACAATCAAACTGTCCCCAATATCCCCAATATTTTCTCTCTATAGGTCCATACCCTGGCACAGACATGCCCCAACGGATTTCCCTAAGTGCCACTTGAGCTACGCAATGAAAAAGACATTTTATATTTAAAAAGAACCCAGACAACAACAAACTAGCAGCCTCCTGATGTGGTCCAGGACCCCGACCCGCACCCCTGTCCGGAGTCAGCAGCTCCAGCACACATCACCGCCCACCCACTTTGATGGTGGGAGTGGTGGGACACGGACAAGCATGTCCCTTCCCCGTGTCACCATGGGTGCCTGCACTGCCAGCTGTGGGGACCCACTGTTTGGGCTCAGCTTGGAGCTCCTGGGACCCCAAACCCCAGCTGGTGGATCCCCCTGTTGATGGAGGAGCTGAAGCCTGTAGAGATGGGACCCACCAAGCCCTCCAGGCTTCCTACAGCCTCTGCCCCGGTGAGAAAACAGCCCCTTGGCCACCAACATCCCCACAGAACCCCACCAGCCAGCTGTCCCCATCCCCTGGCATCGCTTTGGTGGCAATGCTCCAGCATCCATTGAAGCAGTAAATGGGAGAACTGGGAGAGGCAGCAATTTTTTTGCAGCCCGTAAGCGAGATGTGGCACTGACCCCTAGTGACAAGCTCCCGCCCCGATGCTGCACAAGGGAAGGGGGCCGTGGTGGAAAAAGGATGAGTGGGGGACACGGGGACACTCCTCGCCTGTCACAAGGATGAAGGGATGCTTCTGCTGCAGGGAGCTGGAGGAGCATCCCCATAGGGACGTAGCCACCTCAGGCCGGGCCACCAGCTCCTCCACTCCCACCCGAGGTGGACGTGGACCGACTACGCTTGAGATGATAGAATTTAAGACATCCACGACCAGCCTAAACGTCACGTTTCACCAGCACCAAGCGGGGAAGCCACGCTGCAGGAGCAGCAGTGGCGTCATGAGGGACAGGACGGGAAATGACCGAGGTCCAGCTCGTCGAGCCCCAGCGCTGTGACGTCCCTTACACAGCAGAGGAATGACAGGAAGCCACGGAGCATCCCTTCACTCTCCTTCCCTTGGGAATGCTTGGCTGCACGGGGGGCTCTCTGGTCTGGATGCTGCAGTTTATGACTTTAAATACATACATTTTGGCTCCAAGCCCGTCATCAAGTCCAAAAAACGGTCTGTTTCAATGAAGGGCTTCAAGGAGTGACCAGGATTAATGGTCTATTTCTGGGCATTTCAAAATACTCCCAACCATGAGAGCTGCTTGCAGGATGAGAAATACAGACTTTACAATGCTCTCAGCGGGTCCTTACCATCAATTTTTCCTCTCCCCAGTAAATTTAGAATCATAAAGAGGAGGAGGAGGATCTGACCCTGCCGGCACGTCTCGGCGGTGCTGTGGGAGGGAGCAGATGTTTAGTGAAAAGGGTGGGAAGGTCGTCGTGGGATTAGACAAAGCTTCCCTCCGAGCAGACGGCTCTCCCCAGCCCAGGTCCCAGCTTCTCCAGCAAAACAAGCCAGAGGTGGGATCTCCTGTCCCCAGGAGAAGGTGGACAGAGGCTGGAAAGTCCTCTTCCCCAGGTCCTGTGCTTCCCATGGAGATACGGATACCAAGCAGCTCCATCCCACCTCGGAAGGGTCTGTCCCCAGCACTTGTCCTTCAGCTCCCTCCCCTCATTCCCAAAGATCTCAGCTTTTTGCAGACCTCGCTCCCTGCACCATCCCCTGCTCACAAAGCACCAGCCTCACTGCTGTCACCCAGAGCAATGAAAAATGGAGGCTGCAAATAACCCCCCCTGGGCTTGTAACCAAGAAAATGCCAGCGTTGAGCAAAGCCATCTTCCAACCTGCCTGCCCTGGGGATTTGCTGGCACATTATTATATTTTTTTTTCCTCCCAGCTATTCGTGGCTGTTGTGATGACCTGAGCTCTGGCCTTCGGAATAAAACTGCTTTAACCAGATACTCCTCTTACCCCTCCCTCCCCAAGGATGAACATGCTCATGGATTCAGTTCACAAGTGGGGTGTAAACACAAGTAGGTACCAGTTTAAGGAGCCCCGGAGCGGGTGGCACACTTGCCCCCCCCCCAGCTCTGCGTGGTTATGGTGCAGATTTAATCACTTTTGGAGAGCAGGGCTGGCTGACACACATCGGTAGAGCCGCTATTACAACCCAGGGAGGGGAGAGAAATGTGCTTTTTTATCCTGTGATCACTCACCTCTTCCTGCTCGGGGGCCACCGAAGTGCCGGGGTGAGACATACAGAAACTGCAGTGTTTATAGGTTGTGCTGATTCGAGTTTTCCAGCCCAGTTTGCTGTGCGGGCGAGCTTCCAGCCCCATCTCCCCAACAGCTATGGGGTGGGCTTAGCTCTCTGGCAACAACCTGCCTGCAAAAGCTGCTCTCCATGCTTGCTGTGAGATGAAACCCCACCAGCAGCTGTGGGGGGATCCGAGGTGTGGAGTGTCCCGACACATTTCCACCACCAGAAATGACAGAAGGACCAATCTAGAGCAGCAGGGAACTCACCCTGAGACTTTTGTCCCTTCTCCATGAATTTGGATCCCTTCTCCATGAATTTACAGCTAAAAGCAGCAGCTGTGGGGGGATCCGAGGTGTGGAGTGTCCCGACACATTTCCACCACCAGAAATGACAGAAGGACCAATCTAGAGCAGCAGGGAACTCACCCTGAGACTTTTGTCCCTTCTCCATGAATTTGGATCCCTTCTCCATGAATTTACAGCTAAAAGCACTTCTCTCCTGGCTGTAAAGGCTCGGGGAGGGCTGGGAAAGTGAGAGGGTTTTCTGGGCACCCTCCCAGATCTTTCACTTCTCCTGGCCCTCAGAGCTCGCTGTGTCTCTTGCCCTGCTTCTCCCTTGCTGCTAGCCTGGGGGCTGTCCCCCGCAGGTCCCTCCCAGGAGACCCCACTTTCTCTGCCTTGGGCTGCTGGGATGGCTCCTCCCGGATGGTGGTGTCCCCTCCTGGGCTTTCGGGCACCGGTGGGTCCCCGTGGTGGTGGGAATTGTGGAGGGGGAGCTCAGGCACGGCCGTCTCCATCATCTGGAGGAAATCGTAAGCGGGGAGAGGTGGCTTCCAGTCTTCCTCAGACAAGGTACCTGAGAAGCAAATACAGTCCCACGTTAATTAAGAGTTACGCAGCCCCACTCCATGGACATTTCATAGAATCATAGAATGGTTTGGGTGGGAAGGGACCTCAAAGATCATCGAGTTCCAACCCCCCTGCCATGGGCAGGGACACCTCCCACTAGAGCAGGTTGCTCAAGGCCCCATCCAGCCTGGCCTTGAACACTTCCAGGGATGGGGCATCCACAACTTCCCTGGGCAACCTGTTTCCCTTTCAAAGGAATTAAGGCTTTTTTTTTTGCCCTTGCAGTGACAGCAAAATTAAAGACCTTTTCTTAAAGGTCACCCTCTTTCTTCCAAAACTAATACCACCACCCAAATTAAACCAGCCAGGGGTGCAAAGCTCCGCTCTCCAAAGGCTGGGGGGGGGTTTCCTGTGTCCTCACAGCAAAGGTGACACTCGGGGTCTGTCCAGAAGTGGGTGGTTGCTTCACTTGGATCTCAGATAACGGTGTTAATGACTCTGCATTACCGAGATGCCATTAGGAGTGAGGGGAGACTGCTGTCTATACGGGGAGGAAGCAGTCCCATTATGTGAGGATGCTCTTTAATTTATGCTTTTAAGACTGATGACAGGGTTTGTAGCACTTAAAAGCCTGAGGAAGGAGCCTGCGAGGGCTGGTGCAGCCCTTGGCCATACGGTGAGCTGCTCAGCCATAGAATCACAGAACGGTTTGGGTTGGAAGGGACCTCAAAGACCATCCAGTTCCAACCCCCTGCCCTGGGCAGGGACACCTCCCACCAGACCAGGTTGCTCCAAGCCCCCTCCAACCTGGCCTTGAACCCCTCCAGGGATGGGGCAGCCACAGCTTCTCTGGGCAACCTGGGCCAGGCTCTCACCACCCTCACAGCAAAGAAGTTCTTCCCCAGATCTCATCTCAATCTCCCCTCTTTCAGTTTAAAACCATTACCTCTTGTCCTAGGAGTACATCAATGCACCCCTCGGACACCCCTGAAAACTAAAGTTCCTCCCTAGAGACTTACTGACCTTCTGACCTGGTTGATGATGCCCCTGCTCATGGCAGGGGGGTTGGACTAGATAGATTTTAAAGGTCCCTTCCCACCCAAACCATGCTATGATTCTGTGATACGTGGCAGCCAGATGCCTGTAGCAGTGGCAATGGAAAGAGATGTGGGAGGACAGCTGGCTCACGGGGTTGTCTCAACCATTCCTGGGTCAGAAACGGTGTCTTCAGCTCCAGCAAGAGCCTACACATCCTACCCCACTGCGCATTTCGGAAACACTCGCTTTGAAAGGCTCATTTTAAAATTCACAAAGATCAAGGGGAGTCACCCCATCACCTTCCCGGCACCTGGAGCAGGCTCACAGCTGACAATTCCCAACATCCCTGTGGCATCCCATGGATACACGTACCACAGGAGAAAGGCACATAGAACCATAGAATCATTCAGATTGGAAGAGACCCTTGGAATCATCGAGTCCAACCATCTACCCTACTCTACAAAGTCCTCCCCTACACCATATCCCTCAGTACCCCATCTAAACGTCCCTTAAACACATCCAGGGATGGTGACTCCACCACCTCCCTGGGCAGCCTATTCCAATGCCCGACCACTCTTTCTGTGAAAAATTCCTTCCTAATGTTCAGTCTAAAACATCTGTGCTGCCTTCCTCCAAAGGGAGCTGGTCAAGGCAGGAGGGAGGCCGTGAAAAGCTTCAACACTACAAGCCAACCCTTTATGACCCACAGACCGCAGCGAAGCACCAGCTTCCTCAGCCTTTCCCATCCAAAAAAATGCTGGAAGGTGCCTAAAAAGCAGTTATTTCTTACACTGACAGACGGGAGTCAGGAGATATATAGCCAGGTTTGGGGATTATGGTGGGGAAGGGATGTCGATGCAGAGCTATTCCCGCTCGGCTCTGAACATTAAACAGTCCCAAAGCAAACCCGTGAGTGTGGGTAGTCTCTTCTGGCTGGACTATTTGTACTTCTCTAGCTCAAACTAGCAGAGCTCGTTTTTTTCCATCCTTAAATTCCAGGGCAGACAATTTATTGCACGTGTTGCATCTTCTCATAAACAGAGCAGAGCTAACAGTACGTGCTTAGGAAGGTTACAAACGCCGCGTCCACTTACTGCTGGGAATCTCCAGCCCTGCTTTTAGCCTCTCCAGCCAAGACAAGACGTTCGTTTCTGTCACGGTCTGCTCTGATGGGAACTTGAATACCTGACCCCCGGCATGAAGGTTCACCCAGAGGAGGAGAGGCAACGAAGGGACGGCGGCAAAGTAGACCTTCAGGACCCCGCGCCCCACCGGCGTCTTCTTCCTGGTGAGAAGAAGAGATTCAACTCGCTCACTCAGAGGTTTGGGCAGCCCACCAGGACTGAGAGCCAAGCAAGCACCAAAGCCCTTGGACCACATCCAGCCAACCATGGAGTTTTGCTCATGGGACCGCTGTAGAAGCTTACCATGTTATTTTTAAGCTCAATGCCTTACAACAGGACATTAAGGTCCAATGGAGAAGGAGAGGACAGCAGGAGAGAAATCCTGGAGCAGGAGGAGCTGGGGCAAACTCTGTAGGATGGTGTGAAATGTTCTCCACCATAAGTTTTTAAGGACAGGTGAGACAGGAATGGGACAAGATCCTGCAGCCCCCCAGGGAGAGCTACCACCTCCCTCCAGCCCATCTGCTGCCACCACCCCGTGGCTGTGTCAAGTCCGCAGGGGATGGAAAAGCAGGAGGAGGTGATGGAGAGGGCTGTGCTCAGGAGGTCCAGCCCCTGGGTGGTTCCCACAGCCTGAGGAGCGCTGGGATGGCAACTTCCCCAGGCAACACAGAAAGAGGAGGTGGCGATGGCGGGACAGCAAGCCCATGAAGATGTCGAGTCTTTCCAGCACTATTTTCAGGCTGAGAGCGACACTCGAGGTCTGAGCTGGGAATGAGGTCCTTCCTCTTTCTAGGACTGTGCTTCTCTTTCCAAACCCAATTTCCACATTCTGCCTTTTTTTTTTTTTTTTTCCCCCCCTTTTGTTGCGGCGATGCCCTTTCGCTCTCACAGTCGTCTCTGTCTCGGGAAGGGAGAAGAAAGGCAGACGTGTGTAGGAGGGGAAGTTCCAGGGGCTCTCGTTTCTGCTGGATTACTGGCAAACGAGTGGCCTCCTCCCCGCAAACCAGGGCTTGCTAAACCTCAGCCCACGCTGCGAGGCGCTTCCCAGGCTTCAAAGCCCGTTATGATGAAGGCAGTGAGGTGTCTCTGGGCTTGGGTGAAAAGAAACAGGGGCTCCAAATTGAAAATGCAACTAGGGGAGGGGAGGATTAACCCAAATCCCCGCTCCTGCAACTTTCTCCTCTTTCTAAGTTCCCACATTAGTTTTGTTTCTTGAATATTTTTTTAGGTTTGTCTTACGGGCCATCTTCTGGCTGTCCCTTCTTCTGAAAACTTGCTTTCCCCCAGCCAGCCCTGTTGTGCCTCCCTCTAATTGCTGGTGGAAAAATCACCCAAAGACACTCCAGGAGGGCAAATTTCCCTTTTTTTTTTTTTTTTCCCCCTACATGTGACAAAAACACAAATAATACCAGAGGCAGGGTGAAGCTACCGTGGGATATCCTGGGAGAAGATTTCACTCTACTGGAAATTACTTCTACAATCAATTAAACACTTACTAATTTGACTTTGTCGTGCAATTCTGCAGCTGCCCTGAATACACCCCAAACCACTGCTAAATGATTTGACCTCCCAACTCACCATGACTTCAGACCGAAAAATCACATTATCAGCCAGGCGGTGTTTTCAGTAATTGCAAACTCAGGTCTTTTTTTTTCATGCCCCGAAACGCTGAGAGCGAGCCAACGGAAAGAAGAAAAGAGGTTTTTACATACTCACAGGTTCAACCAACAAGCCACAAACTCTTGCCGGGGTCTTCCTTTTGCCAGCTTCAGCATTTCCTTGCTTTCCATTTGACCGATGTCACCATCGCTGAAGAAGATGAGGAAGGGCTTTTGGAGTTGCAAGTAGTGGGGTAGATTTTGCACGGTGATTTCTGGCTGCGAGACACCACAACAAGAAGTTGGGGTTTATGGGGAGGAGAGAAAAGGGCAAAATCAGACTTTCTGTCCTTACGCCAGGGGTGCAGGGGCTAAGCAAGGCTGCAGGGTCCACGTTGAATGCAAGGACCTTGAAACAGAGGTTAGAGCATCTCTGCTGGGAGGACAGGCTGAGAGAGTTGGGGGGGTTCAGCCTGGAGAAGAGAAGGCTCCAGGGAGACCTTAGAGCCCCTTCCAGTCCCTCAGGGGGCTCCAGGAGAGATGGGGAGGGACTCTGGATCAGGGAGGGGAGCCACAGGACGAGGGGGAAGGGTTTGACACTGAAAGAGGGGAGATTGAGATGAGATCTGGGGAAGAAATTCTCTCCTGTGAGGGTGGTGAGAGCCTGGCCCAGGTTGCCCAGAGAAGCTGTGGCTGCCCCATCCCTGGAGGGGTTCAAGGCCAGGTTGGAGGGGGCTTGGAGCAACCTGGTGTGGTGGGAGGTGTCCCTGCCCAGGGCAGGGGGTGGCACTGGATGATCTTTAAGGTCCCTTCCCACCCAAACCATTCTGTGATTCTATGATTCTATAAAAACAAGGGTGGGTGCTGGGATCTTGGAGCACGTTGGAGATGTCTACACCCAACCTGTCCCACCACAAGCAAGTATGAATGAGCAGCTGTGCAGGCTGAGACGAAGTGGTGTGAGCCCAGAAGGCAGAAGCAAGGCCACCTCAGCCCCACTTCACATGCTATGGTTATAATCAGGCTCTGACAGGCACATGGTAGAGGCAAGGAGCAGACCCTGCGAGGGGTCAAGCCACCACACCAGTAGGTCTGTCACCACCAGCACAAACTAGGCCATCAACTCCCAGGGTATCCTCCCAGGAGACCGCACAGCAAACAGCAGATTTCTGTCCAGTCTGTCTGATCCGAGCCATAAAATTTAAAAACAAGCATAACTCAGCATGATAAAAATAATGAACAAACATTTTAGGACAAGAGGAAATGGCCTCAAGTGGCGCCAGAGGAGGTTTAGGATGGATATTAGGAAAAAAATTCTACACCAAAAGGGTTATCAAGCCTTGGAACAGGCTGAAATGGTGGAGTCTCCATCCCTGGAAGTATTTAAAAGCCAGGCAGACATGGTGCTGAGGGACATGGGTTAGTGGTAGGTTTTGTGAGCTTTGGGTTGATGGTCGGACTCGATGATCTGAAAGGTCCTTTCCAACCCAGACAATTCTGTGATTCTCTATTTATTTTGCACAGCTTCATGCTATAGCCAGTGCTTCTCCAAACGACCCCAATGAAAAAAAGGACACTTTCATTTTTACTTACAAAAACGTCCAGCAATTCGTATCTGATCATCTGCACCATGTCCTGTGTGCTCTCTTTGGACAAAGCGATGCCTTCCACGCTCCGACCTCCGCTCCTGGCGAGGAGGAGGGCTGGGGGGGACACGGAGTATTTACGGGATCTGAAAAAGAGGGATGGACACAAGATCTGGCCAAATCTTGGAGGACGCAGAGCTGGCATCCTCATGGTGGGGATGAGTGGGGACAAGGATGTAGGGGAAGGAAAGAGTTGATGTTAGAGGCATATGGACACCTGTGGGACGAAAAGGGTCCTGAGCTGCCTGCCCTGTCTGTGGTGTTCCCCATACGTCCAGCCCCTGCACAGTCCTGATTTAAGCCCATGGGGAGAGATGGGGCTGATGTGTCCCCTTATCCCCTTCTGAAAGCACTTATCCAGCTCACACCTGAGGCTAAATACATACACACACACAAACAACACTTTCTTCTGCAAAAAGCCATCAGCAGCTAAATACAAAGGAAAACCCCAAATCACCATCTCAACTATTTGATGGCACTTCTCCTTCATTTTCACACCTATGGTCAGATGGTGAAAACACCCACCCCATGCTTTACCCCAGACCAAGGCGAACAGAAGGTCTTCGACTCCATCTGAGCGACACCGACCTAGACAAAATGAGCTCCAGGAGATCTGATTTTTGGCTCGGTGAACAAGGGAAATTTAGCTCAAGTCCAGCCCCGCGTTAGAGCAACACACACAACCCGCAGACTTGGTGGAGATGCCAGCTCATCCTTTGTTCCTCAGTGCTCTTCTGGTTAAGAGGGTTCAAGGGTACTTAAAGAAAAGCTGAGGAGGTGGAAAGAGCAAAAAGAGGAGAAGTCTGGGCAACGAAAGGGCAGGGGGTACACCAAGAAGGGAGAGTAATTTTCTGGAAGTTTGAGGAACTTCAGTCCCGAAGGCTCCAGATGTCAGGGCCCAGAGGAAGGGCGCGACGGAGGAAGTCAGCTGCCTCAACAGTTTTTCTGGGGGCATCTGTACTTTGTTTTTGAAAGGCTGCTGGCAATTTGTCAAAGGCTATGACACCAGAATTGCTGGGGAAAGCGAGTGAGGCATAAGGACAATTGGGGGTGAGGAGGTAGAAAGCCTTTGATTCCCTTCTCCAAAGTAATCTGGTCCATCTCCTTTTTTCCCATATGAGAAAGATACGACTCAGCCAACTGCAGAACAAACTACTTGTTTTTAATGAAAGGCAGCTCACAGAAAAGTCATGTTACAACCTATTGTGCTTCCCTCCGTGGTTTGCTCAGGCAGGTTCAGTTTGGGCACTTATTTTAGCAGTTGTGGATGGGATTGGAGACTTGTTCAAATTTGCTCTAAAAATCTCAGTGTTTGGTATTTTAGGTCACCAATGACAAAACAAGTGGAGGGAACTGCAGACAAGGCATTTCCATCAGGTTCAGCTCATACGTAGGCCTTTCACTTCCTCCATCACTGCGTTATCTGTCTGGAAATAAAACACCCACAGCTAATTCCTAAGGGGCACCCCAGATCTGCACTGGTGTCTTGCTGAAGAGCAGCCATAATGAATGACCTTGGGCTATCCTGAGGCCTTCAAATGTTGTGAATCCTGTTGCTAAGCTGTTCTTGGATTTATCTGAGCCATTTCAGTTTCATTTTGCGGTATCCTCCGTGGTTTTTTTTAAATTTATCTTCGTAAATCCAGCCCTGAGCTAAGCTTTCCCCTTTCTGCCCAGGCTCCCAAGCTCCACCACTCAACCTTCTGGTCTATTAGGAAGGTCCTCTCTGTTGTTTATCAAACTAACCTGTATTTGCAATCAATGAAGAACGGTTAAACCCTAGAAAATTTTTAAATTCGGGGATTTTGAACTTCTCCAACTTCCCCAGGTCTTGAAGAGATGCTCTGGGTTGATGACTTTGCAGAGGAGGTTAGGATTCTTGCTCCCTATGTCTAAATCCATTGAGTTGTTCAGCAGCCTTTGATGAGGAATTTTCTTAACTACTGCCAAATTCCTCATCTAATAGCTGGAATCTGCCCTGAAATCACTTCTCATCTTACTGGTACCAGAGGGGTTGTATTGTTGCTTACGACAGCTCTGTATTTATATGGCAGGGGCATTCGACGGGTAATGTGAGACTTGCATTTAAATGAAAACCATCTGCAAACAAATACTTGGCAGGAATCTATGACATCTCAGCATTTGAGAAATAAATAATGACTTCATTCAAAGCATTTCTTCCTTAAGGCTTTTTTTTTTTTCGCCCCCCCTGCCCATTACTTACCAAGCAGGCAGGTGCTCGCTGAGCAAACAGTTTTGCTAACAACATTGTGTATTTTGTGTACCTTTTTCTCTGGAGAGAGGGGACTCAGCTTTCCGTGACCTGAGAGCCACAAACATTTCCTCCTTGAGCGTTTAGCAGAAGAATAGCTTTGCTTTTCTTAAGAAGGGAAGTCAGCCTGGCTCTTGCATAAGGAGTTCCTGTAAGTGTTTACTTTCTACTTATAGCTGAGAAGATGACCATCTACAGTAGCTTCACCTACAAATCACAGCCAAAATCCAAACTTGGCAGAAGGAATATTTATATAAACTGTATCGGCGATTTCAGCTAAACAGGAGCACGCTGCGGAGCGCGGCTGGACCAGGAGGATGGAGGTGTATTCTCGCATCTGTCATCACTGAGACAACGCAGGCTAATGCTGTTGGTATCTTGTCTTGTAAGATCTCCCTGCCTTCCTTTGCTTTTTTTCTTTTCCTTCTATCAGCTGGGCTGAAATAGATCTTCAGGGGGAGAGAAGTCTTTCAGCATCGGTTTTTTCACCCTAATGCTGCTGGTTGTGACTCCTGAACCTGCCATCACCCACTGGTCACAGAATCACAGAATGACATGGGGTTGGAAGGGACCTCTGGAGATCATCTAGTCCAACCCCCTGCCAGAGCAGGTCCACCCAGAGCAGGTTGCACAGGAACGTGTCCAGGTGGGGTTTGAATGTCTCCAGAGAAGGAGACTTCACCACCTCTCTGGGCAGCTTCTTCCAGGGCTCTGCCACCCTCACAGGAAAGAAGTTCTTCCTCATGTTTAGGTGGAACTTCTAACATTCAAGTTTGTGCCCATTTCCTCTTGTCCTGTCCCTGGGCACCACTGAAAACAGACTGGCCCCATCCTCCTGACACCCACCCTTTAAGTATTTATAGGTGTTGATCAGATCCCCCTCAGCCTTCTCTTCTCCAGACTAAAAGGATCCAAGTCCCTCAGCCTTTTCTCCTAAGAGAGATGCTCCAGGCCCTCATCATCTTTTTTTAGCCCTCTGCTGTCCCCTCTCCAGCAGTTCCCTGTCCTTCTTGAACTGGGGAGCCCAGAACTGGTCCCAGTGCTCCAGATGGGGCCTCCCCAGGGCAGAGCAGAGGGGCAAGATGACCTCCCTCCACCTGCTGGTCACACTCTTCCTGATGCCCCCCAGGATGCTGTTGGCTGCCTTGGGCACATACTGGTCTCCCACCCCAGCACTGTCTCACCTCTAACACCCAACCACAGCTGGTGCTTTGAGCACAGTTTGGTTAATGGGGACGTACCACCAAGATATTAACATTTTTATTCTCCCTGCACACCACAAAAATGCCCACGTCTCATCAGACATGCTAGGGATGTGGTGCACCTGCAAGAAGCTAATGAGAACAATCCACTCCTGTACTACTGGCTGTTAAACCCACACCTGGAAAACAGGCCAAGGACCTTCTGAGACTTTTAAAACTCTGCCTTGAGAGCTAATTCTTGATGGAAATGAAATGCCAGGACAAGCTGAAGATTCCCCTTGGATCTAGCTGCATTTATAGGCACTGAAGCATCTCTCACAGTCCGGTCCAAAGCACTTTGCCCCTTGATGGAGTGAGTCTTAATGACACAATTAAGTGCATGGGCTGATAAATTCTCAGATCCCATTAGCACCAATTTGGCTTGAAGTTTGGGCCGCAATTGAAGCTCTTATTCAATCAGGAAGCGACCAAGAAAGCCTTGACTTTGCCTTTGCTAAATGCTCAGCATGGCCAGTGACGCTCGAGGAATTGGCTTTCGCTAAATTAGTAAGTGAGAATTCTCCCCAAAGAAAAAAGAGAAACAACTTACAAAGCCAATGCATCATCTTCGAAGTACATCCCCATCGTTACGTGGCCACTTAAGATGCTTCCTGCCTCTTCGAAAGCTTCCCTGGCTGTAAAAAAAAAATAAAAAAAAAATTACGAAGACACAAAAATAAACAATAGAAAGAGAGAAGTGTCAGCTTCCTCCTGCAAACCAAGTCGCCGTCCGCGTGTGTAGCACCCTCCCACAGCAAACTGTCAGTGGGGAAGAGCACTAGGATTAGAGGCTCATGAAGAATGGATGCGTCTGGTGGCCACGAGCTCCGGGAGGAGGAGTTGGCAGCGGCCGAAAGGATCAGCAGGAAAAGTTCCTCTTATGAGAACAGCCTTTGCTCCTCAGCCGCCAAGCTCCCAGGAGCTGCATGACAAGAGGCCACTGATGGAAAATGAAATGTCTTTAAGGACTTCAAGTCCATAAGTGTTCTTAGAAACAGGAGACCAATTATCTTAAATGGAAACAGCAATGTTAGAAACCCCCCTGACCTCTTGGAAATGACTGACGATGACTTAACTGGAGCAGGGCTAAGTCCCCAGCAGATAACCCAACCTCTCCCACAAGTGTCTTCTGGTTTTATTGGGTTCCTCAGGGCCGGCAGGGTCTGTTCCAGGCACCCAGCTAGGACAGGGAAGGTCCAAAAGCTAAATGCCTGGCAGACACAGCATCCTCCATCACTTTTGGTGGCTGCAAGGAGAGGGCAGGACCTCCAGCACCACAGCTCAGAGTTGCTGAGGTCCATCACTCGCCATACCCAGATAGTGAGGATGATGAGGAAAGGACTGAGTTTGGGGGGCTCTCTTGATCCATCACAGCTGAATCTCTCCATGCTGGGAGGCTGAGAGCAGAGCCACCAAACAAAGCTGACTCCAGAGCCTCTGATTTAAGAAGGTGGATCCAGGGGAGAGGCACGCTTTGTGAGAACTTGCACACCATAGTGTGTAGGAGCGTAAAATACAGTTATGGATCAGGCACCAAACTCACTGCTGCCAAAGGCAGGGTGGAACGGGGGCAGATTTCAACACCACCACCCTTCCCCCTTTGGATTGAGCAACTGAAAGGAACAAAAAAGGCTCTTCCAACTTAAGGACAGTGGGAAATCACACTCTTTGGAGAAGGCAGAGTGTGGGTTACATCTCAGATACATCCATGATGCATGTTTCTTTAGAACTTAAATAGGATCTCATTCAGATACTATTTAGCATTCCTCGTAATGTTCACCATCATATCACAACTGGCCAGCCCAAGCTCTTGGGACCAGTGACTCAGACCTCAAGAGCCTGGCGCTGGGTCACAACTGGTCACTTTTTGGTTCTTTGCCTCCTGCTTTCAAGCTACGCTCAAAGCCATATTTTCCATTGTCTTCCCCATGGAACCACAGGGACCACAGGCTTTCCTTTGCACTACTCCAAATTGAAGCTTAGATCCTTAAAGGGTTGGCTCATTGAGGGTTCAGACATTGTAGGAAACAAGACACATACAACAAAGCTGGTGACACAGCCTGGCTGGTTCATCTTGTGATATAGAGAAACCACTGTTGGATGGTTTTGACGTTGGTTTCCGGCTCTTTTATCTTTGGTCACTTGATTCTATCAGCGTGGAGAGAAAAGGAACCCATAGGACCAGCTGATAAAGATCAACAAGAACTTCACCAACAAACCCCTTGTGAAATTGCCCGTGTCCCAGCTACTGGAGACAAAGCCGTGGGGCTTTCAGCAGGCACCGAAGGACACAGCCTGACGTGGACAGAGCAGGCTCACATCCAAACTTCCTCAGGAGAGCATTCCTACAGGCATTTAACTTTAAAAAACCCACTTGAGACCTAATCCCGTGCTGAAGCGCTGCCCTGCAGCGTCCCTGGCTGCAGGAATTCTCTCCTAAACCAGGACAACCTTCAGCAGAAGCCAGGCTTTCTCCTTTCATCTGGGTGATTCCTGACAAGATCTTCCCTCCCTATCACACTTCCAGATTTTTTTCAATATTTTTGGGAACTGTCCTAGACGCGCAGCCACGCACCAGCCCTCATTTCTCAACAGTCACATCCTCTTAACTCTGTTCCTCCAGATTCACACAGCTCCTGCTACAGACAGGGGACATTTTTAAAGAAGCTATTTAAATATTTCCTAGAAAATTAGTCCACCATGGGAGCACTGTTTTAATTCCCTGGGGGGCCCCATCATGTGCTGCAGCGCGTGCCTCCAGCCCAGGGAATCTCAAAAGCCCACTGGATCTGGGAACAAGGAGGAATAAAACTGCCAGGTAAGGAAGGGTTTCCAGAGGCAGGATCTGAGCATCACCCCTCATCCCTCCAGCAGAAGGCATCTCATGAAACCATCACTCTCCAGCATCACCTTCACAAGCCTCCTTCACTTGATTTCCACTGATGCCAGCAAGCCCTAGGATGGTACCAGGGCTTTGCGGGACACAGATGTATTTTTAAACATTTAAAAGGTTTAGGACAGAGTTTTACTTCCAACTATGTTTCCAGTTTCTGCAGAGCAAACAAATTTCTCTCCTACCAGTTCTCCAGGTTTCCAGAAAAATGCTCGTTCATTGTCCCAGTGATACCATTCGTTTCTTTGTAATGTATTTTAATAATGAATTTTCCAACAAGCCTCTTCTAGCTCAGATGCACTGAAGGGCTTCAGTTCTGATTGGAAAAAAAAAAAAATATCCAGGGCTTTATTTAACTGGACATCTAATTGCTCTGTTTCATTTAATCAGAAATGGCAATGACGCGGCGCGTTGCTGGTTCAGGCCAGAGCAGGAATCCTTGCCGTGAGAAAACCTTTGGGAATTCCAGATAAACCCGCAGCGATAGATAAGAGCAGCGATGTGGTTTCCCTGACTCTGGCCTGGCTTTGGTGCCAAAAGAGCTGGCTCCAGTTTTCTGCTCCCTCAGGTTGTTCTGCCTGATGCTCCGACAAGCTCCTTTCAGCTTCTGGGCGGTGAAAAGCATCCCGTATTTCATCTCCCTTGGCATCTGTGGCTGAGTTTCCCCAGACTGTGGGTGCTGTTCCAGATCACAGACTGACTGTGCCCCCAGGGAAGAGGCAATCTCCACGCGGAGCCGTCTGGAAACCTCCAAGACTCTTTGTTTGCACGGAAGGAAACCAACAACTTCTATATGGGAAAGAGCCTGAGCTCACACGTCCAGCAGGACCCTTCCAGAAACCCCTCTCACTGTCCCCCCACAGAGCTAATCCAGGCTCCACTAGTGCAGAGAGGAAAATATATGGAATAAAGGAGAGATTTTGGAGCTCAGCTGATGAAAACCAGGCAGAAATGGGCCAAAGGGCTTTTGTTCTTTTTTATTTATAGAAAAAAAATAATATTCTGCTATATTTAACAGGCAGACCCTCCAGAAGAAGGGCAGGCAGCCCGCTCGGTGAACACAGCCCAAAGTGTGTTCTGGTTGGCTCCAGACATTTCATTTTGTTCTTACCTCTGAGCACAGTGGATTCCCCCTGGACCTCCTCATGTGAGAAAGGAGCTTGGTTTGTGTTTAACCACAGTTTGCAGGCACGAGGGAGCTTCAAAACGAAAAAAAGCCTGAACTTTTGATCTTAAGGCAGATCAGAAAACTCTCCATTTTATTTTAGTTTTTTTTTAAGAAAAAAAAATTCCCAGGGGTAGCTGGTAACTGGGCGACCGTGGGGCTGGAAGGTCCTCGCTCACCACTGTGGATCTGACTGAAACACGACATGATGTTCCCTCTCCAGAGTGATTTCACTCCCTCGCCCTTGTTAACGTGTGTGATTGTCACGTGAAAAATCACAGCATCTCTCGGGTCCATTTTCCCCTCTTTCAGAAGGGCTGTGGAAACCCAGTGGCTCCTGGACCACAGAGATGGCATGCAAAGAGTGATACCGGAGCAGCATCTGGGTGACTAACATCACCCTGGGCAGCCACTGGGCCAAGATTACAAAGTGAGACAAATTCAAACAAGTTTCACTCATTTGGATGTAAGAAATTTGCATTTTATCTTATTGCTGCTTTGCTTTTTTTGTAAAAAAAAAGAAAAAAATGGGTTTGGAAATGTGTTGGTTGCAAGGACTGGGACGACCACATTAGCAGGAGGAGGAGTCAGCAAGATAATTATCAATGCAACTGTGGAAAGGGCTCTCTTTAAGAAAGAACATGCTGTGACATGTTGTACATGGACTACAAGAAGGGGCTGATGGATCTGGGCTTGTGCAGCCGGAGGATAAGAGGAGATTTGATCACAGAGTGTCTGGGTTGGAAGGGACCTTCCAGATCATCGAGTCCAACCATCAACCCAACACTGACAAAACCCACCACTGACCCATGTCCCTCAGCACCACGTCTGCCCGGCTTTTAAATACCTCCAGGGATGGGGACTCCACCACTGCCCTGGGCAGCCCATTCCAAGGGTTGACAACCCTTTCCGTGAAGAAAATTTTCCCAATATCCACCCTAAACCTCCCCTGGCACAACTTGAGGCCGTTTCCTCCTGTCCCATGGCCTGTTCCTTGGGAGAAGAGACCGACCCCCCCTGGTTACACCCTCCTTTCAGGGAGTTGGAGAGAGCAAGAAGGTCTCCCTTCAGCCTCCTTTTCTCCAGGCTGAACACCCCCAGCTCCCTGGCAGCCTACAACTACTTTGAAGGAGACTCATAAAGAGGACAGGGCCAAACTCCTCACAATAAGGAGCAGGACAACAAGCACAAACTGTGGCTTGTTAAGTTCAGACTGGACATCTGCAAAAGCGTCTTGGCAGAGAAGTCACCCAGGGCACTACTCTTTTGTACGGGGCCAAGAATGATGTCTCAGTCTCTGTTGGGCATGTCAGATGCTTCCACCACACTGGATGTAGTGAACACACCTGGTGGCTGGATGTCCTCTGAGCCAGCGAGTGGACCTTAGGTCCTGCATCTGGAATCAGTTGGGGTTTTCTAATTGCAAAAATAGGAAGGGTGGTGGCAGGCAGGCTGTGATGATGTGAGCAAAGACGGGTGGTCACTCAGAGAAAATGAAATACAGAGGAACTTCTAAGCACCTGGAATCACCCCTCTTCCATGCACCATCCCTGGAGGGGCCAGATTGGATGGGGCTTTGAGTGACCTGGTCTAGTGAGAGGTGTCCCTGCCCAGGGCAGTGGGGTGGAACCGGATGATCTTTAAGATTCCTTCCAACCCAAATCATTCTGTGATTCTAGGACGCTATGATCAGGAAAGAAACTGAGTGTTTAATCCCCAAATACCACACTAACCTTCACTTGTGGCCGTGCTAAATACTCCTAGAACCGAAGTGTGGTGATAGGACGACAGCTCAGATGGAAACTCTCCTCTTAAATATCCTTCTGCTTCCTCAATCGTGGTCAGCTTCAGAGGGCAGGAAACTCGGCTCCTACGGAAAGGCAGAGAAACACCATGGGCTGCCTTCTCCTTCAGTTTTGGGATGAAGAGACAAAAGGGCAACCTCAATCCCTATCATAATAACAACGTCCCAACCCAGTATGACAACCATTATGCCTCCTTAGAGAGAAAAACCAGTTGCCTGGGAAGGAAGGACAACGCCTAGTCACAGAAAGGCACTGGAGCTGGTTATGGGGAAGAGAGAAGAGCCCTGAGCCAAACTGGTTGCTCTGAGTTCCTTGGGATCCCCATTAATAATAATAGTGAGAGGGACAGTGACAACAGATGGACGCACTGCCCAAGAACAGATGTTCCCTGGCACTGAAAAGCACAAAAAGTTATTGAGCTGATTTCCAAACCAGGTCTACAATCAGATCTGACGTTACTTTTTCCAAAAAGGATTTCCATTACAGAGGCCGTGAAGCATCCAGAGCATCATCGAGCAGATGTGCCAGACTAACTGTGTGGGGACTCATTAACTCACAGCATGATGAAGCTGGTCAGTTCTTCGGTCCCCCACATGCCATCGTACAGGACCGATCCCTCTCCCTTCTGGTAAATCTTGATGGTAGGAAACTGAGTGACATTCTCCTCTGTGCAGACTCCGGGCCAGTCCCAGCAGTTGACTCGAGAGAGCAAAACCCCCTGAGTTCCTACAGTGGGAAACAAATTACATTAAGAAATTGTTGAAAAAGAGATATTTTTCTGAGCTTTTTTGGATATAATCGCATGTATTTGCATTAATGCTGCCAGAATTCCTGCTTGCTTTGGCGTGCATCCTGCGGGGCTGGATCCTAACACACTGCAATGCACATGGAGAGAGCCCAGGTGGGCCATCACTGAGAAGCTGCTGGACCATTCCTGGAGACAAACGGTGCTTTGTGAGGGCAGGATGTCAAAATCCAGCCCCGACTACGCCACCCCGTTGAGTACAGGCTATCTCCCTATATTTTCAGCTTGTATTAAATACCCGGGCAGGTGTGGATTGATCCAAACAAGAGACGACGGAGAGAATAAACTCAGGGAAGTGATGGGTTGCACTTCTCAGGAGGCGATTCCCAGAGGCATTCACATCTGGCTGGTTACTCAAAGGAACACCACAAAACCCCCAGGCAATTGTCCAGGAGCATAAAAGGCACTAAGGAAAGGTACTGGGAATACCTTAGGAACAAAGCCAAGACAAAGAAATGATGCAGGCCCTCACTTACAGGAAAGAGGGAAGATAAAGCTTGCCGAGGAGAAGGCTGAGACATTCAAGGCTTTTTCGTTTTTTAAGGTTCCCAGTATTGAAAAGTGGCCGTTCCACCTAAAACACGGAGCCCAACACACAAGGAGAAGTCAAAAGTCACATAAACATGACAGATGTAATAGAGGTTGGCAGTCTGATGGCATTTGCTCTATTCCACCTATGCAAGCTGCTCATCTCCAAGCCACTAGTAGGTACCTTTAGGACCTTGAGAAGGAGCCTGGGGTCTCACAGGCAAGGGAGAGGGAAAAGGAGCAGTCAGTCCCACTTTGGTTCCTGGTACTAAAAAAGGTTTTTTACAGGTCCCACCAAAGTGATAAACTCAAGGGATTCATAAGCAGTGAAATGAATGAAGGTTGGGGGTCGGACTAGATGACCTTTGGAGGTCCCTTCTGGCCTAGACAATGATTCTATGGTTCCCTGCCTGCTCTTCAGAAGCCCAAGACACAGCACCTGCAGCTCCATCGTGTCCTTCTCAGCCTTTCCTTCATCTGCAGCTTGGACGTTGCTGCTGGTCCATGGCTAAGCCCGTGCTGATCAGCTGGCAGGTGAACCACCACCAGCTTCACTAGCCACAGCCCCTTGGTTGCTAGCCTCGCCTGACCTGCCTCCTACCTACTTGAAGGCTTGACCAAGGACAGCAGGGCTGTGTACAGTCCTCGGGCCATACCTCCTCCATGCCCACTGCAGGAATGCCATATCTCAGAAATCTTCATGCCTTCCCTAAATTCCTTTGAAGAGGGTTCAAGAGTTCCATGGGAAAGGTGGGATGAAACCTAGAGGCAAGTACACACCACGGCAAAGTGTCCTCCAGAAACCAGGGTGAGGGCAGGTGATGAGGATCTCTCAAGAGTACGGCAGATCAAAACAGCCCAGCTTTCTTCTCTCTCTGTCCTGGGTTTGATTCTGATCACTGTTTTTATTAAAGGCCTGGCTGCTGGAATTAACCACACACATCCAATCTGCAGATGATCCCACGCCCAGAAGGGCAGAAAGCAATTTGAAGAGCAAAGCATAACAGCAGCAGGACTCAGGACACACAGATACCATCAGGGCTGCAGAAAAGGGCAAAGCTCATTCTGAGATGAACTTTCAACAGCATCTTGCAAGACACAGGAGGAAAATGATGCTCCTCTGTCCTGGTGAGACCTCTGTGGAGCCCAACAAATCGGGCTGGGAAACATGTTTTGGGCCAGACTGGGTTTTTTTGGAAAGGTTTAAGGAGATGAGAGAGAAGCTGGAGAAGTTTGGAAGACACGCCTCCTGAGGAAAAACCCAAAGAACTGTGTTTCTTTTGAATGGAAATTGCCTGGAAGAAAGAAACAATGCAGTCTAACAATATGTCAAGTCTGCTCTGGAGGCGACAGTGAGGTCTAGCTGGGCAAGGACAACCAAAAAGCCATTCCCAGGAAGGGACGTTTGACCAAATATTAAAATAAGCAATTGAGAACCAAGCAGAAATGAGTCTTTTTGGCAGAGAAGCTGTTATAATCACAGATTGGAAACGTGCCTGCCAGGGATGGGCAAGGCGTCTCCACAGGCAAGGGTGAAGGCAAAGGTGGCCTTACCATGTGTTCCCATCCCCTATCCCTACGTCCTTGGCATCCCACTGGACCATCTTCTGCAAAACTCATTTCAGGTTCTGCTTTGCTGCTCACACGAGGAGTTTTGCTGCCGTTCTCTGCCTTGTGTCAAACTCATGGACGGAAAAAGCCGGCGGCAGCACGGAGCTAAGTAAAGGTCTGCAATTCCACTCAAGATGGTCAGGAGTTGTCAAAACACTCCACGAGGGCAGAAATAGTTTGTGTCATTCTCCAGGCTCTGAAATAACATCTCCAAGTTAACAGCCTGCCCCCAGATGTATTTCACGCCTCTGGGCCAGTGTAGCTGGTTCTCATCATCTCTTACCACATAATCTTGTGTCTTGCCCAACTCTGAAAAATAATGACATGGAAATAGGGCTTTGATGTCTTCTTAAAATTGAGTTGCAAGGCTGCTCTTAGGTCCCTCAAATATGAGTTTTGGTATTTGCACGTTACTTCAGGGGACTACATACCAAAAGTGCTCCAAAGGAGCCCCATCTGGCCCAAGGAGCATCTTGTACAGGATGATGTCTTTCCCATCCCAGTCTGCACCATATTATTAATTACTGACTGAGCAGAGGCTTCAGGAGTTGAGAAACTCAGCAAGGGACTGCTCATCCCTGTGGTCACTGCTGAGATGTTGGATGGGAAGAAAGGTAAAAGAGGAACACAAGATCCTACTATTCTGTTCCTTGTATCTTCCCTCATCCTGGCCATAACTGAGAGCCGAGAGACCCTCAAACTTTTAGGTTTTCCAGCTTCCCTGGTAGCCCTGCCTGCAACTGAGGCTCCCTCAGCAGCAGAGACAAAGCATCTCCAGATCTCCAGGCCTGCTAACGCAGCTGTTCCTTAACCTCCTTGAGGCCGCAGTGGGGAAAGCAGACTGGAGTCAGCCCACAGGTCACATCTGGCCTGGGAGTCTTTGGTGGGGACCTCACTGATCACAGAGGAAAAGCCCTGACCCCAATCAGTTCTTAATCTCTGTTGAGAATCTGCCCGTGGATGCTTCCACAGACCGAGATTGCTATCAAATGATACAAAAAACACATGGTGCAAGCTTGGCTGTGCAGAATCAGCCAAGGCTTGGCCACTGGCTCAGACAGAGACAGGGTTTCATCCACTGACTCTCCCAGGTTGCTCCTCGTAGCTGGTCTGACTGCTGGGGAGCCTGAAATAAACCCCAAACCATCAACAACTGTAACATCTCTAACAACAACAACAACCTTTCCCTGAGCTTTCCTGTTTATTCTTGGGATTTTGGTCCAGATCAAAGCTGCTGGTGACTTTCCCTTCATGCAGACTATGAATGCAGAACCGCTTTTATCCAAACCACAGCACTGTCCGCAGCGTTCCCAGGAGGGTTCCTCGTAAGCAATTCCCACTGCATCTGCTTCCCAGAAAGCTGGCTGGGTCCTCTGCAGGCTCTACATCTGTCCCCACTGCTGAGAGCTCACCCTGAGTCCTGCTTGCACCCTGCCCAGTCCCAGGGAAGCACCATCAGTAGGAGAAACAAGCCTTGATGAAGGAGGAAAAACCAAGAGAAGGCACCAGCCACCTCCAGGGATGCCGGAACAGCTCTCGCCCACATCCACGAGACCTCCCCACTGAGCTGCAATGAGTTGGGGATGAAGCCACCTGAGTGTCCCCTGCAGCCATGGGGGAGAAAGAGGCATCTGTGGAAGAGGTTCAGCCCATGTAAGAATGATGGATGTGCAGAAGAGCCTACCTCTCTCCACTAACTGTAGAGAGAGATGGGGCTGATGACCTGAATGAAGCTGAATTGGGCTCAGGAACTGTTCTGACCCTCTTGAAGGATCATTCACTCCTGCTTTTACTACCAGACTGCCCGATCTGTGCTGTCTTTAAGTGCTGCTGAGTCTTCACTGTCACGTGATATTTATGGAGTTTTGTGGCTGTCTGCAAGAATTCCCATGTAATTAAACCGGTCTCCAGGCCCTGAAGGCACCATCATTGTAAATTCTTCCTCTGACACCGTCCTGCCCCGGTGGATCTGGGCCTGCCCACACCTGTCTGTCACGCTTTCCACCAAAGCCAGGGCCAATTACTGCACCTTTCCAGATCAAGTCCTTCCAAGAACAGATGTGCAGCATGTAGTGCATCTCCTTGGTCTGTGCAGGACATATCACTGAGGGGCACAAACAGGATCCATTTCCATGATGCAGGCTACAGTCCCTCCTTGTTCCAAAGCCCACCGGGTGTCACCCACTGGCTCTGGTGCTCTGCCCTGGCCCTCTCCATGCACTTGGGCATTCCTCATGCAATCACTGTGCCCACCACCATCACCATCATTCATTAAGCAATCATGGTGCCCACCACCATTACCACCACCACCATCCATCATGCTGTCACTGTGCCCACCACCATCACCACCATCACCATCACTCATCAAGCAGTCATGGTGCCCACCAGCATCACCATCACCATCATCCGTTACGCTGTCACTGTGCCCACCAGCATCACCATCATCATCACCACCATCCATCATATTGTCCCTGTGCCCACCAATATCATCATCATCACTATCCATCATACTGTCACTATGCCCACCAGCATCACCATCACCACCACTACCATCCATCACACTGCCACTGTGCCCACCAACATCACCGTCATACTGTCCCTGTGCCCACCAGCATCACCATCACCATCACCACCACTACCATCCCTCACACTGCCACTGTGCCCACCAACATCACCATCTCAGCTGCAAGGCAGTTTGGGCAGCTGGTGTGTACCAGTTTACACCAACAACAGAAGGTGACTACAGAAGGCTGCATTCCCAGTCCCGTGACTTTATAGAGGCACAAATGGACCGCAAAGATCCCTGAATAAGAAACAAAGGACTCTTCCTAAGCAACCTGATGTGGATATGCCTTCCTTAATGAGTTTGAGGGGGAAAAATGAGTATATTCTAGGTGAGGGAATGAGGTATCATCAATATCCTCCCAGTCTTCAGGACGAGGGGAGGTGCACACCAGCTGTAAAGCACCCAGACCTGTGGCACCTTACCTTTCAGATGATCAGCCACCTCGGTGTAGGACCGCAGCACTGCCAGGGACACTGCCTCCCCTGAAACACAGGAGAGACCCAGCCCTGAGGGTCATACAGGTGACAGACCAGCCCCACCTCGCTCTCTGACAATGTCACGTTACGGTTCTCTGCCTCCTAAGGTGCTTCAAGCTCTGAAAGGCTTGACGGAAATAAGGAAAATTGGACTTTATGCTTCTGTGCCACAGGTGCTGCAACCAGGTTGTCTAGGGTGTGCCATGAGCCCACGCCACCACAGTTTCCCCTCTTGCCCTTACATTCAATCCCTGTAAAACGAAGTTTAAAAACCTATGAACGCCGGTATCTTCTCTACTGAGAGATACTGTCTTCAGGCTGCATCAGTCAATGGGAAGAACTGATTTAATCTGATTGCTAACGTTGGGTGGAGGCCCGTGGAGCAGGATGTGGCATTTATTTATCGTTAAAATCTGTTGACGGGATCATCATGTTACGGAAAGCGTTGGTGAGCACTGCAAGCTTGGAGAAGGGACAGGCAGGCCACCTTTCATACTCACAGCTGGCATAAAACAGCACCACCGTCCGGGCAGCCTCCAGGAGGGCAGAGTGGAAGGTCTCCTCTGTCAGGACAAGGATCTGCTCCAGGGGCAGCTCTCGCTTCTTGTCCCTGGAAACTGCTTCCACCACTTGGTCATCCTGAATGTCTGCAAGGGAGCCACAGCCGTGCATGAACAGAAGGGCACAAAGGACACGGGGAGACTTGGGAACGTTTTGGGAAGCCAGGACCTCTCAGCAGAGACCTGGTGACTGTCAGCGGAGGGGTAAGGGGTTGCCTGACGTGGAGGAGCGGAGGGAAAAGCCCAGACACACTCACTGTCAGACACACAAACTCATCACAATGCACATACTCCATCTCACACCAGTTGCACCCTCTGATTTGAACACGTTTCTTCCAACATGTTGACTCCTCTAGAACCCTGCACCACTTGTGGGGTTTTTTTTTCTGGAAAACAAAGCCCATTCTCTATGGAAAACAAATGCATTTTCAAGGAAGCACTGCAGGGGCCAGTGTTCTCTCTGTGGAACAGCTCTTAGGAAAACACATCTCAAACCTTTCCAAAAGGTTTGACTGATAATTCTACGGCACTTTTTCTGATGTGTTTTGGGTGCATTTTAAACCCTCGTGGCCCTGAAGCTGGATGATTCAAGCAGAAGCACCCCTGTCCCTCATGCAGCACCTCTGCAACTGTTCCTCTAACAGCTGCTGATTTCCTTTGCTGGTGTTTCCCTAAAAATCATGCCTGTCCAGCACGAAATCCCAGTGATTTGCAGAGAATAAAAGAGCCACTTGGTGCCACTGTGATGTGACCGTGATGGTTTGCCTTGGATTTGTGAAAGTGCTCTCTAATGTACGCCTGCATGTGCCCAGCAGAGGCTGATGGCATGTCCCATCTGATGACAATCAGCTTTTCACCATTTAGTTGCACACCTTGATTGTTATTGTCTTTTTCCTCCTCATCTTCTTCCTCCTCCTCCTCCTCCTCCTCCTCCTGGATTTGTCCAACCTTGCTCTTATCTTCCACCAGGGTTATAACTTCATCGGTGTCTTCCAAAACCAGGTATTTGACTGGCACACCCTAAAGAAAACAGAATAAGTTGGTGGGAGCAAAACTCTCTGCCTTTTCCATCCACAAGCCAAGGCTGATGGGGCAGCATCACTCCTTATTTTTGGGGTAAGTCAGCAGATTCCTAAAGCTGCCAAACAGGAGAGATGCTGGGGTGTGTTTATTTGACCCAATTTCACCTGCGCTCGAGTTCTTCTCACTCCAGACTGTTTTTAACTTGCCAGGAAGAAATTGTGGCTGTGTGGGATCCTGCTCCTGAAGTGGTGAAAGTGAACACCCGCTCCATCTCCCAGGATCTCATCATTAGACCCACCACTGAAAGGAAAAGCCCAATAAATGCATCCAGAGTGGAGAGGTACAGGGTTCACTCGGCTGTCCCCCCTCTAAAGGGGTCAGGCTGGGTGAGAGGAACCCACCACGGCCTAGGAAACCAGCACAAAACCATCCTTTATCTCATGGAGCTCCACAAAGAAGAGTGCTCCCAAGTGTATGCAGGCTGCCAACCCATGGAAAGAAAAGAGCAAAATGTGTTTCTCAGAAATGAGACCTTGTCGGCTTAAAACCAGTTCTGGCAGCGTCTCAGCCAGAGGCACTTCAGAGAAGATGAATTTTATAATGAACTGAGAGAAATGACAAACTGCTGGCCCCCTCCCATCGGCTGGAAGAGGAGAAAAAGCAACGTGCACGTCTCTCAGCAGGGCAGGGGAAGCCCTCGGGGGACGCCCAGGCTCAGGTCTGATCCTGTATCTTTGCAATCACAAGTGTGACAGTTCAGGTAATCTGGGGCAAGGTGTGCTCCCTGGCATTCGCCGGCGCTGAATTCCATCTCGCCTCACAAGCTGGGTCAGGTCCCTCCAGAGTTTAGCTCATCTTGATCAACCTCATTTAACTTACACCCTGCCCTTTTCCCAGATCACTGCCAGAGGCGTTGGGTTACATCAGCTCAGCACAGACCTTTGGTTGTTTTGCTCTGACTTTCACACTCATGTCCTCTCCCACCTTTGGAACGCCTTTCTTTAAGGGGCAAGGGCCTTTAGAAGTCCAAATCTTTGAAGAATTTGCACTTGGACTACTGCCCTAGGTAACTCACCGCCTTGTGTTGCTTTAGGGTGTAATGGAGTTGTCACTCTACGTTTTGAAGCCAAAATAAACTCAATATTTTATCTTTAATAGCAGGCACAATTGCTCTGCAGTACCAAGCTCAGGCAGTTCCAAATACATCATGCATCTAAGGAAAGACACTTCCACTTGAGCTTCTGGGAAGGCTGTCAAATAACAATGGAGCCAAACAACACCCCAGCACCTCTGAAGATCACCATGCCCAGACAGGGAAATCAGAGTTGTACAGTAAAGAAATCCAGCATCTAACCTCATCTGGTGTCTTCAGAGCGACGTTTGACCGCAGCAGAACGTTCAAATTGACGAGGTCCCTTCCAAAACACAAAGTGAGCATTAGACGGTGTGCTGTGCATGGTCACCCCCTGCATTCTGCCCACCTCTCTCAGCAGCACCTTGTCCTCATGGAGCTGTGAGGGCTTCAGGGCCCCTGAGAACTTGAAGGAACCCAGAATAAATATTGGTGGTGGAGAAGGAGGCTCCAAGTGACCTCCTGGTGGGACTGCACTGCATAGCGTGCCAATTTTGCAAAGGGCTTGGGTTCCCTTTCTGTGATTTGGGTCTTTGCTCACGCACTGGTAGCCACATCCCAGTGCAGATGATCTGCTGGTGGACTTCAGCTCATAGAACCATAGAATGGTTTGGATTGGAAGGGACCTTAAAGATCACCTTGTTCCAACTCCCTGCCCTGGGCAGGGACACCTCCCACCAGACCAGGTTGCTCAAAGTCCCATCCAACTTGGCTTTGGTTGGATGAGTAAATGCATCCAAGAAGTGCCTCCATACAAGGAGGTACTGCAGTGGCAGGAAGCTGGAAGAACCTACCCTTCCTCCATCTCCTCCCACCTGCATGGCTGCCAGCAGACATCCCCAAAGGCAACCATGCCTACCAGGGCTGCACACCTCCTTTATCAGGACACCATGGAAGCATTTTCAAGCAGCCTGGTGTATGCAGGCTGCTCCTGAGCCCATGGAGCTGGGGTAAGTATCTGGTGGTCCCCACAGTCCACCTCCTTTACTGGATCTCCTTCTGCCCTTAATTTGAGGGCAAAACACAAGCCTTCCATCTGTTTTAAGGTTCCTTTCCAGAATTTCTCTTAGTCTGACTGTTTTTCCACATCTAAGTCAGCAAGAGACTCAAACATTTCTACGCTTCCAACCAGTCTGAAACCAAACTAAACTGATTCTGGACAAGTTCTTAAATGTGACACCCTCTTGCAGGATATAGCCCAATTTTACTACCTCTCATACAAATCTGAATAAGCCTGTTGACCATCATCCAGGCTGTGGGTTAACCGAGTTCAGAAACACCACAAAAAGCAAGGAGAACCCCAAAACACCTAAGAGCAAATACCTGGACAAAAGGGCAACTCCTGCTTTCCCCAAGAGCTGCCAGGCCACAAACTCTGCTGTCCTCCTGTCAGCTTCGTAGGTGTCTTTCTGGCTGAGGATGAACACAAGTGGCAGCCCAAGCTGTAAGTGAACAGTGGAAACCTTCTCTGGGTCCTCAGCAACCTCTGTCTGGAGAAGAGACATAGTTATAGTGCAGCACATTTCCACACCGTTGAAGGTGCCTCAGCTCTTCTCCTGCACAGCCCAAGCCACCCTGTGTTCCCCAGCCACAGAAATAAGGATACCCTTGAGAAAAAGCCTCCAATCCTGATTCTAAAACTTCCATGGAAGCAGAACCCACACAACCCTTGTTAAACTGTTCCAACCTGTCATGACCCTCCCTGTTAAAAACCTGGGCTTTATTATGCATGTTCTTTGTCACTTAGCAACTCCAGATGTCAAATCCCCATTAATTTTTATTTACTTGGCATCCGTTCCCCACAGCAGTTTGAAAACCCTGGCTGCAACATGCAAGAGCTGGCATCTTCTCCCTTCCTGCCTTGGACATGCTGCTTCATGACAGCACGGAGCTGCTTAACGAGGCGCCTTCCCTCCACGGGCCTAACCCAGGAGGTTGGGCGAAGGAGGCCCTTCCCAGCTCTTCCATCCATCCTTTCCACTCGGCAAAGATGTCACCAGTGGGAACTGGAGGCCTGCTGAAGTTCACTACCCAGTGGGATGAGGATAGAGCCTCCTGTCCCTTGTGCTCACTGAGGCATGAATCACTGATATCCATCTCCCCAGGGTGCTGAGACTCCTGTGGGGAGCCTAAAGGAGCAGCTGAGGACTTTGGGTTAGTCTAGTTTGGAGAAAAGGAGGCTGAGGGGCAACCTCATTGATCTCCACAGCTTCCTGAGGAGGGGACGTGGAGAGGGAGGAGCTGAGCTCTTCTCCCTGGCATCCAGTGACAGGACATGTGGGAATGGTTCAAAGCTGCACCAGGAAAGGTTTAGATTGGACATTAGGAAGCACCTGTTTACCAAGAAGGTGGTCAAAGACTGGAACAGGCTTCCTAGAGAGGTGGTTGATGCTCCAAGCCCATCAGTGTTTGAGAGGCCTTTGGACAATCCCCTCAATAATTTGCTTTAACTTTTGGTGGAGCCCAGAATTGGTTAGGCAGTAGGACTAGATGATCGTTGTAGCTTCCTTCCAACTGAACTATGCTAGGCAATTCTATACATCCCAGTGAAGTTCAAGGGGCATCTCCACCCTCTTCCCACTCATGGTGCTTACAGACAACTGGAGGAGCATTACTGGTGCCAGGGCTCCCTGGAAAGGTCTAAGCAAGCTGAGCAGTGCAATAGAGTGTCACTCCTGTCCAGCCCCATGCCTTTTCCTTGCTTGGACCCAACCTGGGAGTTTTGCCATTAACTTCACAGGGAAGGGGCAGATTGTCACGCTCAGCCTTGCCTTCTGCTCACACCTCCCTCATCCTCACATCGCCCCTCAGCTGCCCTCATGCCCACAGCCCAAGAGGCTCCTCCTCCCCTGTCATACCACCAGAGGAGCCCCCATGAGCTTGAGGTGCCTGTGGATGTTGAGCAACGTCAGAGCCTGCCCCATGGCCGTCCTCCTGCAGGGCTGGGCCAGGTCCGTGGCCCGCTGGCAGTGGCAGAACAGCAGCCGAGCAGACGACACGTCAGGGTCCTCATGGCTGTGAGAGAGAAAACAAAACCCATGGCGAGTTAGACATTAATCACGGGGTTTTAATACACCCTGACAGAATGGCCACGTTTGCTGACCGCTTTTACAGGACAGATGATACTCAAATTTAGGGTTTGGAAGGCTTGTGGGACGTCTTCAAGAGCCCTACTAGCGATAGGTACAACTGTGTCCAGGTGCTTTTCAGAATTGTGCTGGACATCTAATAAACCCCCTGGCTCACGGGGTGTGAATGACTTCGATCCTAGAACACCTGGCTCAAGGAGGACACGAGATTTTCTCAGTGGGACCAGCCATACCCCTCCAGTGGAGATCCTGGCAGGAGAACAGCTGAAACACAACTTTGCTCATGTCTTTTACCTCACTGATGACATCTTACAGGCTCTTTAAAGAATATTCCACCTTTTGAACAGCATTGGGTTTGGCTGCACTGAAGCCAAATGAGACGGAGCTCCCTGGATGGTTCCCTGGTTAGTGGTTCCTGCTCCTGCTCTGGTCCCTGCTCTGGTGTCAGCTTTGGGAGGTCACATTTCTTTCCTCACCCACCCATTCCCCACCTCTAAAGTAGGGATTACCTTCTCTGTAAAGGGTTTTAAGTGGAAAAGCAGGGTGTGGGATTAAGAACTCAAAGCCTGCGGCCCTGGTTGTCTGAAAGCTATTCGTGTTGGTGAAGCTACCACCATTTCACCAGTCGGGTGTCTTCTTTGCTTGAAGCAGCATGAAGCCAGTTCCTGTCCAAATGACAACCGTGCCATCTAGTGGCAGCCACAAAATGTTGTCCCTGATCACAGCTCCTGCAAGGATGGGGTGGCTTCTCGGGGAAGGACAGCTTTGGTCCTTGCCCCAGTGTCACCTAAGAAAGTAGGAAGATGGTTCTATAAAGGCTTTGATGAAGATGCAACATGCTATGTGGTATTCCCACCTTCCTCTCCCTCAGGCTCCTGGCTGCAGTGGGTCACGGCAGCAGCAGGATCTGCCCTTCGAATGCAGCTCCTCCTGCATGGGAAGGGGATGGCCTGAGCTGGCCAGCCCCAGTGAAGCCATGGGGTGGGAAAGAGCCAAATGCAACACTCCTAGGAGCAGTGTCTTATGTCCTGGGGTGGGAAGTCCCAAATCATAGAATCATAGAATGGTTTGGGTTGGAAGGGACCTTAAAGATCATCCAGTCCCACCCCCATGCCCTGGGCAGGGACACCTCCCACCAGACCAGGTTGCTCCAAGCCCCATCCAGCCTGGCCTTGAACCCCTCCAGGGATGGGGCAGCCACAGCTTCTCTGGGCAACCTGGGCCACCCCCCAGTCAACAATTTCTCCCTAATATCTCATCTCAATCTCCCCTCTTTCAGGTGTCAAACCCTTCCCCCTCGTCCTATGGCTCCCCTCCCTGATCCAGAGTCCCTCCCCAGCTTTTCTGGAGCCCCTTTAGGGACTGGAAGGGGCTTCAAGGTCTCCCCAGAGCCTTCTCTTCTCCAGGCTGAACTCCCCCAACTCTCTCAGCCTGTCCAGGGAGCAGTGTCTCATGCAGCCGATCTGCAGAACTCCCTGCTGCCAGGAACTGCTGAGATGAAAAGTAAAAATGTGTTCAAAAAATTCTGGTGGCTGTTACCACCATGATGCAGGTTCAGCTCCCATCTCGGAGAGCCCCGAAACCTCTGACTGCCAGAAGATAGGAGGCTGCGGGCAACACGATCCGTACCCTCATACCCCTTGGTAACCACCTCTGGCCACTGCAGAGGTCCAATATGGAGCTTGGTGACTCACTAGAGCAGTTCTTACTCTTCTCATCTGGCCAGAATTGCTCACCAACACACAAGTCTGAGTGATTTAAGACTGTGACATCAGCTCTATCAGCACTCCTGGAACCCCTTGGCTGAGGTTGGACCAGTCAACCACAGAAAGGTGACAGTGGGCTCTTCTCCTATAGAATCCCATTCAATGAACACATGGCATGTCTGCTCCAAATCCAGGAACACAAGCAGCAGCTGGTTTTGGAGAAGCAAACCAGATCTGGCTGTCCAACCTTGGCATAATATTCCAATACCAGCCCAGATTTGACCTGGGAATCTGAGGAGTAGAGCTCTACCTGGTGGGTGGTTGTGTGGCTTTGGACATACCCAGCATCTTTCAGGAGCGTTGCCTCTGTGGTCAGAACAAACTGGTGGACGGTCCCATAGACAAAAGCCGCCTCCATCACGGCTCTGTGCTCTGGAAAGAGAAAGGCAAGACTCATCCCATCTCCCTCCAGATGTCCTTCTTCACCCTCCCCAGATGTAAATATCAACGCCCAGGCTTTCAGAAACCCTCAGGAAAAAGTCCCAGCTGTCTGAAGACACACTATGGAGGCAACAGAGCAACTGGAGCTGAACCCCGTTCCTGATGTCCAGTAAACACACAGATGGTGTAAGTGAACCCGTTCTACTGCATAACCAGAGGTGGCCTGTCCATGGGTTTGCTTATTTTTTTATTAAGACAGCAACTGCTGCCTTGCTTTCCCTCTCAAGTCCATCTCCAAAAGTCTGTGCGCTCCCAGAAGAACTTTTCTGGTGCACCTCATCCCTTTGGAAACACAGCAAGAGAGATGGAGGTGGAGAACTTGTGTCTAGGGGGCCCTTTCAGGTTCTCTCCATCCTCCGTTTGCAGGACTTGGGGTCAGAAACCCACCTCCCTTCCACCTTAGTAAAAAAGGCTCCGGGGGGAGACCGAAGATGAAAAGCTGAGGGTTAATACCTGCTGTCCCAGTAGCTGGCACATAAGCAAAGACCATGTTCGACCTCCCTTTCAGTGTGTTTTCAATGTTCTGAAGATCTGCCAGCGTTTCCACGTATTTCACTTCATTAAAGAGCAGGGCACTGAGGAATCAGAAAAAACCTCATTAGCAACTGTTTGCTTTTAAGAGCGGATTTGCAGCCACATCACCACAACGGGAAAAACAAGGTAAAATTCCAGCTTCTTGCCCACAGATTGAAGATTCACAGCTGCCCAGATGTGTGCTGGTGAGTCATCTCAGGGACATAGATTTCGCAGGGTCAAACCATCCCAAAGAGAGAAGCAGCCCCCTGCATGGCTGAGAGCAGCCTCTGCAGTATGTGTTGGCAGGGGGGAGTGAATTTATACAAAAAATTATATCAACAGGTGAAAATGGGAAGTAAAATATTTCACAGAGATGCACCTGGTCTGTACTTACAACAAAACATTGGCAACGATGGAGTCCACGTCAAACAAGGCATCGGTGGGGAACTCTCGGATCAGCACGTTACCTCTGGGGAGGGAAGAAAGAGCATCACCAAAGAAACTGTGGAAGATGAGCTACATGTATTCATAGAATCATAGAATGGTTTGGGTTGGAAGGGACCTTAAAGATCATCCAGTTCCAACGCCCCTGCCACGGGGAGGGACACCTCCCACTAGATCAGGTTGCTCAAAGCCCCATCCAGCCTTCTGGAGATCAGGAGACCTTCTCGCTCTCTACAACTCCCTAAAGGAGGGTGTAGCCAGGGTGGGGTTGGTCTCTTCTCCCAAGGAACAGGCAATGGAACAAGAGGAAACAGCCTCAAGTTGCACCAGGGGAGGTTTAGGATGGATATTAGGAAAAAATTTCTTCACTGAAAGGGTTGTCCAGCACTGGAAGGGGCTGCCCAGGGCAGTGGTGGAGTCCCCATCCCTGGAGGGATTTAAAGGCCAGGCAGACGTGGTGCTGAGGGACATGGATTAGTGGTGGTTTTGTCAGTGTTGCGTTGATGGTTGGACTCGATGATCTTAAAAGTTCCTTCCAACCAAGATGATTCTACGATTCTATAACCTTTGGGGAGACCAACCAACCTGCCCAACCTTCACATCCAGGGCAGATGAGCCAACCAGGCCAACCAAAGAGTGAAGATGATTCTACAATTCTATAACCTATGGAGAGACTAAGAGTTAAACCTTCACATCCAGGACAGATGAGCCAACCAGGCCAACCAAAGAGTGTTTCTTTCAAGGACTAGACCCAAAACCTAGTGGTCTGAGTGTAACTCTGAACAACCTGGTGGCGAGAGGCCAGAAGGACAGAAGACTGATGGAGGATTTCTCTGGTGGTTTCCTGTAGCAGCACAGCCCTCTGCTGCTCAAAGGCACACGGGGAAGGATGGGATGTTTCATACTGAGGACAAAGCATCTACTTTGGTACTTTTCACTAAACTCTGTATGTCACTGCTGCCCTCCTGGCTCCTCTCCTCCCACACTGCTATCTCTGATCCCTGACAGCCTTTCCTCCCAACACTTGCCCTGGGAAGCAATCACAATGTGGTGTCCAGAAAAAAATCCCGCTCACCTGAACAGATAGGCTGTCCTTAAGGCATTTTCTTTCCCACAGTATCTTGAGACATCCTCTTTGGGACAATTAACCTAGGCATGGAAAGCATGCAATGAGACATTGAGCTCCACAAATGACTACAAACATACAGCGCTACAGCTCTCTTCCTTTCAAGGGTGTAAACACAGCCTTTCCAAACCTGCTGGGAGAGAAACTACAACAAAATGGGAGTCCAGAGCTGGGGACTGGAGTTTGTACTTCAGTTTCACACTTCACCCTGCCTTGAGCTGCGTCAGATGGGATCAAGAGACCTTCTGATCTGCCCAGCGTAGTTACAGTGACAGATTGTTGCTTGCTCATTAAACTCAGCCAGGGCGAGGGAATAAAATGGGATGCCCTGCTCAGCCAACATCTGCTCTCTTGTGGGGTCCCACAAGGTGGGTCGAGAGAAGCTCTGGCCACCCTGCAGGAAGCCCTGCAGAAACAAACAGCCTGTCCTCCTCCTTGTCCCCGTTTACCTTCACCACTGAAATGCCATAGTCCTGGAGGGCCTCTGCCGAGTTCTCAATCTGCTCCAAGAAGGGCTGGGCACCAGAAGAAGCTGAAACATTTAAAAAAAAAAAAAAAAAAAAAAGGGGTTTTCATCTGTTCACTTTATGGATGAGGCAGATGAGAGCACCTTCAGGGCAAGCACTGCCTGGGACATCCCAGCAGACCCTGAGTCGGGGCAAACAGGGACCTGTGGTGTGCTGCTGGTGGAGGAGCCTGTGAGGATGTGGCTGGGGGAGACAGAGACTGGGACTGGTTTTGTCAGATGGGTGCTGCTGGGCTGGCCTGCAAATCACAGAATCGTAGAACAGTTTGGGCTGGAAGAGACCTTAAAGATCATCTCATTCCAACCTCCCTGCCCTGGGCAGGGACACCTCCCACTAGACCAGGTTGCTCCAAGCCCCATCTGTGGGAAAGTAACGGAAGATTGGTGAGGAGGATTGTAAATACACTCAAGAGACTCGCACCTGGGGTGCTGGAAAATACATCTACCACACTAATTGCTGTTTGGTCTCAAGTCTGTGAGTAGAACATCCACACTGAGATAACTTACTCCTGTGATGGACTCAGGGACACCTTATCTCACCACTTGAGGTTCCTGCCCTGTTGTTGGAGAAGATCAAGGCACGAGGGGGAGGACTATGCCTGCTGGAACTTTTGAAAAACCAAGCTAAGCAGGGAGGTAGGCCCCCCTTTTTGTTCCTGCTCCTGCATATTCTGGCTGCTAAGGACTCTGGCTAACAAGTCAAGCTCAGCAGGGAGGTAGGCCCCTCTTTTTGTTCCCGCTCCTGCATATTCTGGCTGCTAAGGTCTCTGGCTAACAAGGACCCCGACAGACAAGGACTCTTGCTGGCTTTGTGGTCCCTCCCGACGGACAAGGACTCTTGCTGGCTTTGTGGTCCCTGCTTGTGTGTCTCCACCCAGGTGCTGCTTCGGAGACTGCCCGAGTTGTGAGGTGTGGAGATTAAACTTGTTCTGTTCCTTTATTTGGGGTCTCCTGCTTGTTCCTGCATCGGCTCATCCATCCTGGCCTTGAACACTTCCAGGGAATCCTTAAGAGTCAAGAGCATCCTCTGCCACACACTGAGACAGTGCTTGACACAATACGGTCTTGCTCTTGCTCAAAAAGTAAGGTATTTACTGAAAGAAAACTATGGGCAACGATGCAAATGCCCCCAGAATCCCCACCTTCCTTTTTAACAGACTCGGTGATGACGTGGGAGCTGTGTTGGTGTCTCAGCTCATGTTGATGTCTCTGGGAAACCACACCTGGGGGTCATGAAGGAGCAGAACAAGAAAGGCAAGGCCAAGGATCTCCTCCTTAGCTCCCCTGCATGCAAGGGATCCCCCTTTTCTTAGGAGGTACCATGGAAAAGAAACCCAGCCCCTTTGATAGGACAACTCCTTCGGAGGTTGGGTTTCTCTTCCATGGTACCTCCAGAAAATAATCCAGAAAATTCATGGAGAAGTTTGAAGGACTATGCCTAAGGACACAGCCAGAGAAGGTCCCACCCCAAGAGGTCTCTGGCTGTCAGGAGCACTCAGGGCTGTACAAACTCAGACTTATCAGCCAAGTGAATCTTACTTGGGCTCTTCAAAATCACTTCGGGTTTAAAAATCCCAGGAATTGGCCCCTCATGGTTCCACTTTCACACACCCCCTCACACGAGCCTTTGCAGAAAAGCCAGGATGGGTTAAATACGTACCTTTACGGCTGAAATAAGCCAGGGATGCTCTGCCAGCTTGTAAGCTCCTGAAATACTCCTGGGGGCCCAGCTCCTGCAGCAGCATCCCACTTCCCCACGCTGGGATGGAGGAAGCACAGAAGAGCAGGAAAAAGAAGGAAGGAACCCATCTGTCCTTTGGGGCTGACATGGCTGTCACCAGCTACAGGCACGGGAGAGTCACAACTGGGGGAAAAAAAAAAACAAACCACAAAAGAATATATATTTTTTATATATTTATCTATATATACAAACATACTTGAGTGTCTTCTGTTTAGGTAGGTGCAGCGTGGACTGTAATTTCCAGATGTGACACAAACATCTCGAGGACGTCATGAGTTAGTCACCAGAAGAGCAGGTGATTCACACAACTGTAAAGATGACAGCAAAGGCTGCCATCTGAGTGGTATTTATATGAAATATAGAGAGAGTGGTACATATAAGAGGCACCCTCTCCTCTGAGTGGTATCTGCAAGTGCATGGACCCTCACTGCTTTCAGTTTAGGGCTGTTTTTCTTCCCTCCTTTATTTTTCTTCTTTTAAGTCAAACAGAAATAAGATACATGGGCAGAAAACAATGACAGTATCATATGAAAAAAAAGCTCACCCAAATGGTCTCAGTTCTTGTCAAAAAGCTTTGAGGATGGTCCTCAGCACAAGAAGGACATGGACCTGTGGAAAAAAAAAAACAAACCACAAAAGAATATATATTTTTTATATATTTATCTATATATACAAACATACTTGAGTGTCTTCTGTTTAGGTAGGTGCAGCGTGGACTGTAATTTCCAGATGTGACACAAACATCTCGAGGACGTCATGAGTTAGTCACCAGAAGAGCAGGTGATTCACACAACTGTAAAGATGACACCAAAGGCTGCCATCTGAGTGGTATTTATATGAAATATAGAGAGAGTGGTACATATAAGAGGCACCCTCTCCTCTGAGTGGTATCTGCAAGTGCATGGACCCTCACTGCTTTCAGTTTAGGGCTGTTTTTCTTCCCTCCTTTATTTTTCTTCTTTTAAGTCAAACAGAAATAAGATACATGGGCAGAAAACAATGACAGTATCATATGAAAAAAAAGCTCACCCAAATGGTCTCAGTTCTTGTCAAAAAGCTTTGAGGATGGTCCTCAGCACAAGAAGGACATGGACCTGTTGGAGGGGGGGCAGAGGAGGCCACGGAGATGCTGGGAGGGCTGGAGCCCTTCTGCTGGGAGGACAGGCTGAGAGAGTTGGGGGGGTTCAGCCTGGAGAAGAGAAGGCTCCGGGGAGACCTTGGAGCCCCTTCCAGTCCCTCAAGGGGCTCCAGGAGAGATGGGGAGGGACTCTGGATCAGGGAGGGAAGCCATGGGATGAGGGGGAAGGGTTTTAAACTGAAAGTCAGTAGATTTAGATGAGATCTGGGGAAGAAATTGTTGACTGTGAGGGTGGTGAGAGCCTGGCCCACGTTGCCCAGAGAAGCTGTGGCTGCCCCATCCCTGGAGGGGTTCAAGGGCAGGTTGGAGGGGGCTTGGAGCAACCTGGTCTGGTGGGAGGTGTCCCTGCCCAGGGCAGGGGGGTGGCACTGGATGATCTTTAAGGTCCCTTCCCACCCAAACCATTCTATAATTCATGGCGACAACCACCACAGGATGAGAAAACACCTTCTTCCCACTTCGTTCCCCTGTTTAACACCAGGTTCCTTCCCAGCCTGCTCTTCAGGAACCATTCTTTGCTGCCAAGCGCGCTGGAGTGTGGCTGGACCCTGGTCAACAAAGAGACAAAGCTGGAATTGAAGCCATGTAGAAGCTGTTTGCTCTGCATCACGAGCTGCAGCTGCTTTGGCTAACAAACACCCCTGTGTCCATGGGGCTGTCATTCCCTCCAGCACCCCGTCAGGTGCTGTCAGCAGAGCGCTATCGCTGCCCTGTGACAAACCCGAGCTCAAACGCTCCAAAAACAAGCAGGAAAAGCCCCTCTGCCTTGTTCCAAGAGCGGGGAGATAGGGAAAACCAGGCGGGCTCAACCTTCACCGGCTCCCTCTCATGTAGGTGAGGGGTTTGATCAGGCCAACAACAAGGACGAAGAGGAGAAAGGCATGAATTTTTTAATTTTAATCTAAAAGTCTCCACTTTAATCTAAAAGCCTTCCAGCTTCAGGGAGTGCCAGGCATTTCTGGTCCTTTGCCCTCCCGTCTGGTCCCCTGGCTTCCAGAGGGGACAGAGATTGGGGCTCCGCAGGGGGATGATGTTTATTAAAGGACCAACTTGGCCACAGCAGGATGGAAAAGTAAGTGCAATCCTGGCACATGGGAACCAGCCCAGGTCAATTGGGAGACCTTATTATCCAGGAGGCAAGGCCAGAGGAGCAGCCTGCAGTGATTCAAAGATGGCATTAGACCTGGAGGAGGGTAACAGCAGTTTAAAACACAAGTCCAACCTCTACCAAAGCCCTGATCTCTCTTCATGTCTCCTCTGGCTCTCACAGTTTTTCCAGCATCCACCTTCTGCCCTCTCCACATCCCTGTGTGATGTTGCTCCCCCTCCTTGCACCTCTCCCAAAGTCACACAGGGGTTGGAAGGGTCCTCTGGAGATCATCTAGTCCAACCCCCCTGCCAAAGCAGGGTCACCCAGAGCAAGCTGGACAGAAAGGCATCCAGGTGGGTTTGAATGTCTCCAGAGAAGGAAACTCCACCACCTCTCTGGGCAGCCTCTTCCAGGGCCCTGCCACCCTCACAGGAAAGAAGTTTTTCCTCATGTTCACATGGAATTTCCCGTGTTCCAGCTTGTGCCTGTTGCCCTCTGTGCTGTCGCTGGGCACCCCTGAGAAGAGTCTGGCCCCATCCTCTTTGCCACCTGCCCCTTAGATATTGATAAGCATCTTCCCTTCTACAGGCTAAACAGACCCAGGTCTCTCAGCCTGAGAGACGCTCCAGTCCCTGATCACCTTTGTAGCCTCCACTGGACTCCCTCCAGTAGTTCCTTGTCTCCCTCCCCATTTCTCCTGGAGCCCCTTGAGGGACTGGAAGGGGCTCCAAGCTCTCCCCGGAGCCTTCCCTTCTCCAGGCTGAACCCCCCCAACTCTCTCAGCCCTCCCTCCCAGCAGAGGGGCTCCAGCCCTCCCAGCATCTCCAGGGCCTCCTCTGGCCCCATCCAACAGCTCCATGTCCTTCTGCTGTTGGTGGCTCCAGAGCTGGAGGCAGCACTGGGGGGGTCTCCCCAGAGCAGAGCAGAGGGGCAGAATCCCCCCCCCCCGCCTCCCTGCTGGCCACACTGCTGGGGATGCAGCCCAGGGTGCAGGGGGGGCTTTCTGGGCTGGCTCATGATGAGCTTCTCATCCACCAACACTCCCAAGACCTTCTCTTCAGGGCTGCTCCCCATCCATCCTCCTCCCAGCCTAGATTTGTGCTTGGGGCTGCCCCCACCCGGGTGTCATCCTGCATTTTGTCCCCAAACGCTGCTTCCCCACGGAGTGCTGCCAGACCTGTGGTGCACAGGCAGGAGACACTTTTCACCCGTCAGGTTTTTAAGGAGGTTGTAGATGGCTCCATAATCAGCTGGTGGCACAAATCCGCGCCGGTGGGGCTGACCAAGGCTGGCACACCATGTTGGGTGATATGGGAGCTCCTCTCCCCCAGCCCCTGACCATCATCAGAGGGGACAGGAAGGGGATGAAGGGCATCCCCGTGAGCAGCATCTCATGGAGCAGAGGTGGGAAACACAAGTGACCTCCAAGCGTGTCCCCAAAGCCCCTTGCCCACCCTGCTTTACCTCGCTGGGGTTTTATTTTTTTTTTCCCCCCACTGATGCTCCATCTCCTGCCACTTCCCGGAGAGTTTCACTTTCATTTTCACTTCCAGGTCCCACTTCCCAGCATCCAGCATCCCTGGCTGGGCCTCATGGCCAGGGATGGAGGGGGGGGGGACAGAGGGGACACGCTGCAAGCTCTCCCTCTGCCTGCACCCGCAGAGGATCCCACAGCATCACCCTCTGCTAGGACTCACTGTCCCCATTCCCTCTGTCCCGGGGGGGGGCAGCCCCCCCAAAAAGTCCCCAGGAAGCAGCCGGCACTGTAATGATGGACCACATCGCCACGCTCCATCCAAGATGGCTTAGGGATGTCACCTACCTGGGTGTCCTGAGCTGAAGCCCTTGTCCCTGGGTGTCTTTGAGCTTCAAGACTGGTGTCCTCTTCCCTCCACCACGGCTGCCAGGAGAGCATCACCCATGGAGGTCTCCCCTGGACCTCAGCAGTCCTCCTGAGGTGGGTAGCTCGGCTGGAGAAGCTAGGGGTGCCAAAAATACAGCTTGGGGCGGCGGGTGGGGGTGCTGGGTGGGGGTCCGGTCCAACCCTTCCAGCGGTGGGATCTCCCAGCTCCAAGCCGAGACCCCTCGGGAGTGGGATGCTCACCCACCCCCGGCCTTCCCCACCGCCCCAGCGATGGCCGCCCAGAGAGACGAGACACCGCACACCCAACCTACCGCAGCGGGGCTCCCCCCCCGCACCCCCTAGCTACCCAAATCCCCCCCCAGCAGCTCCGGGGACCCCTCCCTGTCTCCCCCAGACCCGTCCCCGCAGGGTCTCAGCGCTGCCGGAGCCGACCTCCCCCTCAGGCGGCAGGTTCTCTGCCCTTATGCCTTGCGGGGACCCCTGGTTGTTGGGGTGGGGGAGCCGCTGGCGCCCCGTTAAAACGCCACCCACCACCCCCGTTACAACGCGCACGGCGGGGCGGGCCCAGGCGGCGCTGGCTGGGGAGAGG